TTGAAAGGAAAAAAAAAAGGCCAACCTAGAATTCTATATTGAACAAAATTTTTCTTTAAAACTGAAAGACAAACAGAACTTTCTCACATAAGAAAACATTCAAAAAACTTGTCATCAGTATACCTGTCCCACAGAAAATGTTAAAAGTTCTTCAGAGAGGGAATGACAAAGGTCAAAAACTTAGGTTTATGCAAAGAAAGAAGAAACAGTCAAGCAGGAAAATTAGGCAAAATCAAAATGAAGTAGTTTTCTTAGTTTATCTAACAAGTTCATTCAAGATAATAGCAACAATTTAGTAATTATAGTTTTTGAATAAGTGATGTGAATGAGCACAATGTTATAAGAAATGGAAGGGGAGAAGCAGGAATATGTTGTCATAAGTCACCTGCACTATCCATGCAGTGGTTAGTATATTGAAAGTAGCCTTAGAATAGTTTTGTGTGTTTTAACCTAGGGTGACATGATTTGGCCACATCCCCACCCCAATCTCTTCTTGAATTGTAGTTCTCATTATCCCTCTGTGTCATGGGAGGGACCCAATGGGAGGAAACTGAATCATAGGGGCAGTTACACCATGCTGCTGTTCTTATAATAGCGAGTGAATTCTCACAAGAGCTGATGGTTTTTTAAGAGGCTTTTCCGTTTTGCTCTCATTCTTCTCCTTCCTGCCATCATGTCAAGAAGGATGTGTTTGCTTTCTTTTCCACCATGATTATAAGTTCTTTGAGGCCTCCCCAGCAATCCAGAACTGTGAGTCGATTAAATCTCTTTACTTTATAAATTACCCAGTTTCAGGCACTTCTTCATAGCAACATGAGAACAGACTAATACAGTAAATTAATACTGCATAGTGGGGTGCTGCTTTAAAGATACCCAAAAATATGAAAGTAAATTTGAAATTGGATAACAGGCAGAGCTGGAAAAATTTGGAGGGCTCAGAAAACGTCAGGAAGATAGGGGAATGTCTGGAACTTCCTAGAGACTTGGAGGGTTCAGAAGACAGGATGATTTGGGAAAGTTTGGAACCTTCTAGACACTTGTTGAATGGCTTTTACCAAAATGCTGATAGTGATACGGATAATTAAGTCCATGCTGAACTGGTCTGAAATAAAGATGGGGAACTTCTTGGGAACTGGAAAATTGACTCTTGCTATGTTTTAGCAGAAACACTGGTGTCATTTTGCCCCTGTCCTTGAGATCTATGGAACTTTGAACTTGAGAGGGATGATTTAGGGTATCTGGCAGAAGAACTTTTTAAGTGGCAAAGCATTCAAGAGGAGGCAGAGCATAAAAGTTTAGAAAATTTGCAACCTGATGATAAAATAGAAAAGAAAAACAGATTTTCTAGGAAGAATTCAAGCCAGCTGCAGAAATTTGCCTAAGTAATGAGGAACCAAATGTTAATCACCAAAACAATGGGGAAAATGGCTCCAGGGCATGTCAGAGAACTTTTCAGCAGCCCCTCCCATCACAGGCACAGAGGCTTTTGAGGAAAAAATGGTTTTCTGGGCATGACACATGACTCCCTTGCTGTGTGCAGCTGAGGGACTTGGTTTGCTGCATCCCAGTCACTCCAGTAATGACTAAAAGGGGCCAAGGTACAGCTTGGGCCATTGTTTCAGAGGGTGCAAGCCCCAGACCTTGACAGTTTCCATATGGTGTTGAGCCTGTGGCTGTACTGAAGGCAAGAATTGAGTTTTGAGAACTTCAGCCTAAATCTCAGAGGCTGTATGGAAATGCCAGTAAGTCAAGGCCAAAGCTTGTTTCAGGGTTGGAGCTCTCATGGAGAACCTCTGCCAGGGCAATGAAAAAGGGAAAGGTGGGGTCACAAGTCCCATATAGAGTCTCACTGGGGCACTGACTAGTGGAGCCATGAGAAGAGAGCCATAGTCCTCCAAACCCCAGAATGGTAGATCCACCAACAGCTTGCACTGTGCACCTGGAAAAGCTGCCATTACTCAACATCAGCTGGGAGGGGTAGCTGTACTCTGCAAAGGCACAGGAGTAGAACTGCTCAAGGCTGTGGGAGCCCACCCCTTGCATTAGCATGACCTGGATGTGAGACATGGAGTCAAAGGAGATTAATTTGGAGCTTTAAGATTTAACTACTGCCTCATTGGATTTAGGACTTGTATGGGACCTGTAGCCTCTTTGTTATGACCATCTCCCATTTGGAATGGGTGTATTTACCCAATGCCTGTATCCTCATTGTATCTAGAAAGTAATTAACTTGCTTTTGATTTTACAGACTCATAGGCAGAAGAGACTTGTCCCTAAAAAAGGTTGGAGATCTCTTTTGCTGTTTTTGATTTTTCTTCAATACTCTCTCTTCTGTTTTGATGTTTAAGTGATTAGCTCATTAAAAGGCAAGAACTTTAGAAGTAACACATTACTACCTTCATAGAAACCACTTTTTTAACAGTCAAAGAAATGGGGCAGCCAGCTGAAGGTTATTTAATTTGAAGATAAAATGATCAGTTTGGACAGAAGGGTAAAAAATTGAGGCAATGTTGAGCTTTACTCAGCACTGTATTGAAGGCAGACAGTGTTCATAGGGAGCACCTGGGACAAAAGTCAAAGAGAATGAAGCAGATAACAGAAAATAAAGTGCTGAAAACTGAGGATAACATGGACTTTGTTTGCTCCATAGAGAATTAGATATTCAGTCTCTGGCTCTGACAGATATGAGCTATGACACATAAAGTAAATATCTTATGAACTTTTGTCCATGGCTTCAGCATGTAGACAATAATCGAAATGAATTAGATGCTGCCTAAAGTGCTTCCTTGATGTAAAGTCTTATATTTCTAGCGCTAATTCACAGAAAGACCACGGACTATTTTCTGTTGCTTCTATAAAAATTCAAGTTTTAGACATTTTTGCAGAGTCATTCTGCCAACCTCAGTCTACCCTCTGGACCTGTCTCATATACAAAACACTTTCACCCCATCACAATGCTTCCACAGGTCTCATTCTATTATATATCAACTGAAAGTACTAAGTCTCACTTAAATCTCATAAGCTCTAAAGTCTCAAATCTCATTATGTACAAAATTCAAAACAGTTATGAGTGAGTCTTTGGGTGTAATCCTTCCTGGGTGACAATTTTTCTTTACTTGTAGAACTATAAAATTAGGAAACTAGTTATCTCCTTCAAAATGCAATGATGTGACAATCATCAGATAATAATTATAGACATAATGACAAAAGAGGAGAAATTAAAAGAAAAAAGTCACCTCTCTCAAACAATTTTTAAATACAACCAAACAAACTTTAATAGGTTACAAGGCCTCAGAGTAATTCTCCTTGGTTCCTGGTTCTAGTTTCTGGGCTTAAAGCTCTGTTCTTTGGGTCATGCTTCTTTCTTGGGTGAAGGAATGCATATTTGTAGCTGAATGGTTTTATTGGCCTATGTTACCAGCCTGCAGAATTTTGAGGATCTAACATCCTCCTTTCACCTAATGCTATTTTTGGCTTTTTCAGTTCATGCTGGTAGTACTTCTGCTAATATTAAATTCTCAAGCACCTTGTGGGTCTCTCATGTATTTCACAGGATTCACTTAATTAGATAAGAGGCTTGTTTACAAATCATTCCTAGAAAATTTTATCTGTAATTTTGGATTTTGCCCAAATGGCTAAAGGATAAATAGCCTTATGCCTTCTGAGAGATATTTTCTGGTTTAATTTAGGGAATCTTTGAGTCATATCTTTGAACTCTTTATAAAGCCTTTTATGTGACTAAGTACTCTGCTCTTTGTAATGCTTCCATAACAGATTACCACAAATGCAGGAGCTTAAAATAGCACAAACTTATCCTATAGTCTTGTAGGTCAGAAGTCTGGTAGATGTCTCAGTGAACTAAAAGAAAGGAGTCCGCGGGCTACATTCCTTTCTGGGGGCTTGTAGAATTCAGAGCCTAGCAGTTGTGCAACTCCTTTCTTCTGCTTTTAGAAACTCATATAATTAGTTTAGGTTCACTTGGATAACCCAGGATAACTGCCCTCTGTTAAAGTGAACTGATTGGCAACTGTCATGTCATGTCATGTCATGTCGTGTCATGTCATGTATTTACTGATTCTGAGTTTAGGACTTGAAGATCTTTGTTGTAGTGGTGGGAGCAGGCACAGAACTGCCTATCACACTAAGAGCAAAAATAACCCTACCTTTTAAGACATGCTTATACTCTTATCTGAAACCAATTGTAGCCAAACTCTTGGGGGAAACTACCCCACTTACTCATACTTTCCACATAGGAGAGAACTCTGGCTTCCTCCCCACAGAGGGAACAGTAAACAGATATACTTCTGCCTACTTTTGTATTCTGGTACACATTCCTTGTCTTCTTCCTTGCAAAAGTAGAGTTTATTAATCTACTTGTCCAAATATAAAACCTTCATTTGGCCATTTTTGGAAGCTGGAGTTACCATGTCAAGGACAAGAACCAGACCTCATATTAATACTTTTTTTCTCTTCATGTCTGATGAATCAATGGAAAGGTCAGGAACTTTTCCTCCAGCAGAAGCTCTTTTTTCCATCTCATTTGTCTTTGACTGCTTGCATCCCTGAGTGGCCTCACTGGCTTTCTTTTCTATGAGTGAGTGGGTAAGTCAGGTTTGACCTGCCTTCTACACCCTGATGAATATTCTAGGATTTTCTACAAAATAGTTTGACAAGAAAACTGAGATAGAGGATCCCCACTTGCCATTAATGTACCCATAAAAGCTCCATTTTTGTTGGTTTGAGTTTACATCAGTTTTTAACTTTAATAAAATTTCTTCGTACTAAAAGCCATTATATTGATTGTTAATGTTGTCATTAGTAAATGATACTATTGTGATATTGGTACATGTTAGTATACATTATATGGCAGCCAACTTTTGCTGCTTGGTTAGATTACAAGAGCAGAAAAAATACTCCTAATTTTGAAATAAATCAGTGAAAAATTAATAATTTTATAATATAGAAGGTTTATAGTTTGATGGAGATATTTTATTTTGCAGCCCATCATCCAGTTCCCTGTCTTCTGAAAGGTGTACCCTGATTTTGCTCTGTGGAATCATCCTTGTCCTGTCTTTCAGCCCATGTCCTTCTGGTAAGGCTTCACATTTGCTCCTGAGTTGAGTGTGGGAATAAATTCTGATCAATCTGAGCATCCCATCCTTTAGATTCATTGATATATGTAAGAATGGGCAATGAAATAAAATGAAATGCAATGAGATTTTTGTCAGAAGCGTTGGAGGACAAGTATGCTATCTTTCTTGATATCTGTTTTGAACCATATAAATATAAACTTGAAGCCCCTGTAGTCATCTTGCCATCAAAGTCAAATAAAAGAGAGAGGCTAGAGAAGGATCAGGTCATGATGACATAATCGGAACCCTTGAAAGTAGCCTTTCCTGTAGTTAACCCAACTCTCAAACTATTTAGTCATGTAAACTAATGTAGTTTAAGTCAGTGTGAATTGTGTAGTTTCTTGTTTAAGTCATTGTGAGTTGAGTTTCTGTCCTTGAATCAAAGGAGTCTAAACCCTTGACTACCTACAAGGTTTACATATTCTAAAATACAACGTAAACCTGCATCTGGGGAGTTAGTGATTTTCCAAAATACATCTATAGTTTTCATTGCCATCTACACAGATTAGTAAGAGAAAATGTCAAAATATGGAAAGAAGGATATTTAAGTATGCTAGATTATTAAAATGTGAATTTTTTATGAAGTCTTAAATATAGTTTTCACACTCTTTAGCAATCCAGATAGAGTTACCAATAGAGTAAGTGTTAGGGATTTTCTGGTTGTGTTTCAGAACCACAGAAATACTTTTTCTCTTAATGTAGCATCTCAACAAATTTGCTTTGCTTATTAAAATACAGGTAAGTAACAACAGGATCAAGATGAAGGAAGGGACTGCAAAGATTATATAATTTTATCTCATTTTATAACTGAGGAATTAAGCATCAAAGAACAAAGTAACTTATATATAGCCATCTTCATTGCTAATGGCAAAGATACAACTAGAACTCAATTCTCTAGATTCCTGCTCCAAGGATGCTTCTCATTTCCGCAGCTTGTAACCAAGCATCCTGTTTTAAAAGCTTTTTTTTTTTTTTTTTTACTTTCCTGCCTGTTCCTTATCTTGCTTTTAATAATAAGATGATAATGTTTGTTGTTCTTCTTTCCACCAGGCACTCCCTTGCACAATGTTTCCCTTATCTAGTTATATATTTACTTAGAAGTTCCAGAGACTAAATCTTGAAACAGTCTCTGTCACCTGGAAATTACTTCAAGGCTGCAGTTAATTTGCAACCTGAGTGTACTCAAGATGGTGCCAGCCCATTTACCAGATGGGGTGACCATTCATCCCACTAGTCACTAGAACAGTCATGTAGACTGGCACTAGCTCATCACCCTTGTATGCCCATTATACCAAACTTCCCATTTTAAGTCCTCACCTTTGACCCCAAACCTTAAATGTTTTCTTCAAGGCAAAAAGCCTTAACCATTTTTCCACTGCTAGCTCTGGAAATAAAGTCACCTTTATTTCACTGCACTTAGCCAATGTTACGGGCTTTGCAAGCACTGAGCAGCTAGGTCTGCACTGTTACAAGCCCTGATGACCTGACATTGCAGGCATGACCATTATTTACTTACCACCCAAAATGTTCACATCAGAGAAGAAATAATAAACTAGACTAGAATCAAATTAGTACTTACTCATTTCTATCTTAGCAAACTGTGCCAGGAACTTTGACCATAGAGGTACTTGTCCACAAAAGTCTCAACACAGAGCACACATTGACTTCAAAGCCCATGTATAATGAGGGTCACTCTGCCAGGAACTATGCCTCATGGATAAAAGATCCTGTCGGCAGTGAACTCTCCCGAGAGTCACCCCATCACAGACACAGAACAGTTTTGTAACACCCGCATACCTTATATTTTATGTTACAGATGACATTTTGAGCTTGCGCTGACAAAGAATCATTGTCAAGCTCAAAGGTCAGATGTATTGAATAAAACAGAGATCATTTTAACAGGAACTAGTGATTGAAGTTTATTCCCACTTTAGTCAATTCTGTGAGCTCTGTCAGAGCCTCTAACAGGTCCACTGGATGACCTCTTTAAACCACCAAAAGCTCATTTACACATTGTTTGTAATGAATCCTTTAGTTCAAGACATTTTTTAGATATTTTTTACTTTTGATTTTTTTTTCTTTGAAAAGTTTCAGATTGTGTACTCTATCAAGCAATTTTTAAAAATCTAACTTTTTAAAAAAAATGAAATGCAGAAATTTTTCTGCTGACTTCATGGTCAGTATTCTGCTTGAAAATGGCAGAAGGCTTTACAATAAAATGTGGATGTCCTGAATTTTTAGGAGATTAAAGAACAAAGCTTTTTACCCGAGCACTTGACCCTATTTGTGAATTTCCTGATGACAAATAAAAACAGTCCATATAAAAGCAAGATGATTCTTAATCGTAAATTCCCTTTTCCTCTTGCATAGCTCTCTAATGAACATGTTTGAACCTATCCTTTTAAAAATTTCATTAGTAATATGCATTGGCTGGATGACTGAATCTGCTTAGTGTTGCTATAAAAAATACAAGAGACTGGGTAATTTATGAAAAATAGGGGCTCCGCCAAAATGGTCAAATAGAAACAGCTCCGGAGTGCATTTCCTAGCAAGAGAGACACAGAAGGCAAGTGATCTCCATGTTTTCAAATGAGGTACCCAGTTCATTTCAGTGGGAATGGTTGGACAGTGGGTATAAGCCAAAGGGGCAAACCAAGACAGGGCAGGGCACTGCCCTACCCGGGAAGTACATCTGACCAGAAGAGAGGGGGGCACTCCCTCTCTGGCATTATGGTTCAGATACTCTGCTTCAACCAACCCTCTTCAACCCACAGACCAGGAGATCTTCTCTGGGCTGAAAGCTGCCTGTGAGTTACCTGCAAAGAGCTGAGAAGCAACCTCAGTTGGTGCTGCAAGTTGTTGGCACAGATCTAAATGACCATATTGGCTAATGCCAAGAGAGCCAGTGAAATGGAGCTACCTGCCCCGCAGAAAGAAGGGGAGCTGAAAGCAGGGAGTCAGGCGATACAGCTAGGTGGGTCACTTCCCCCACAAAGCCCATCAAACTGAAGCCCTCTTGCTTGAGAGCCTTGCAGCCAGCACATCAGTTCAAGCTCAACCTGGAACAATCAAGCTTGGTGGGGTGAAGGGCAGCTGACATTGTAGAGTGGGTTCTAAACTTCCTGTGTAAACAAAAGAAACAGGAAACAAACACAGCAGCTCAACTGAGACCCTGGCAGCCCAGCAGCACCTCTGCAGGAAGACAAGGGACAGACGACCTCTTCCTCAAGTGGGCTATCTGACAATGGGAAGAAATCAGCGCAAAAAGGATGAAACCATTGAAGACCAGAAGGCCTCTCCTCCTCCAACAGATCACAACTCCTCATCAGCAAGGGAACAAAACAGGATGGAGCACAAGTTTGACAAATTGACAGAAGCAGGCTTCAGAAGGCTTCAGACTTCTTTGAGCTAAAGGAACATATCGTTACCCAATGCAAATAACTTAAAAACCTTTTAAAAAGGTTAGACTAAATGCTAACTAGAATAAACAGCTTAGAGGAGAACACAAATGACTTGATAGAGCTGAAAAACACAGCACGAGAACTTTGCAAGCCATACACAAGTTTCATTAGCCAAATTGATCAAGCAGAAGAAGATATCATAGATTGAAGACCAACTCAATGAAATAAAATGAGAAGGCAAGAAAAGAGAAAAAAGAGTGAAAAGAAATGAACAAAGCCTCCAAGAAGTGTGGGATTGTGTAAAAGGATCTAATCTACGCTTGATTGGTGTACTGGAAGATGACAGGGAGAATGAATCCAATGCTGGAAAACACTCTTCAGGATATTATCCAGGAGAATTTCCTCAAGCTAGGAAGGCAGGCCAACATTCAAATACAGGAAATACAGAGAACACCACAAAGATACTCCTCAAGAAAAGCAACCACAAGGCACATAGTCATCAGATTCACCAATGTTGAAATGAAGGAAAAAATGCTAATGGCAGCCAGAGAGAAAGGTCAGGCCACCCACAAAGGGAAGCCCATCAGACTCACAGCAGATCTCTTGGCAGAAATCATACAAACCAGAAGAGAGTGGGGACCAATATTGAACATCCTTAGAGAAAAGAACTTTCAACCCAGAATCTTCTACCCAGCCAAAGTAACCTTCATAAGTGAAGGAGAAATAAAATACAGACAAGAAATTACTAAGAGATTTTCTCACCACCAGACAGGCTTTACAAGAGCTTCTGAATGAAGTGCTAAACATGGAAAGGAACAACCAGTACCAGCCACTGCAAAAATGTATCAAATCATCAAGACCAACAATGCAATGAAGAAACCACATCAACTAATGGGCAACATAACCAACCAGTAACAAAATGGCAGGATCAGATTCACACATAACAATATTAACTTTAAATATAAATGGCCTAAATGCCCCAAGCAAAACAGACTGGCAAACAGAATAAAAAGTCAAGACCCATCAGTGTGCAGTACTCAGAAGACCAATCGCACATGCAAAGACACACATAGACTCAAAATAAAGAGATGGAGGAAGATTTCCCAAGAAAATGGAGAGAGAAAAAAGTAGGGGTTGCAATCCTACTCTGATTAAATGGACTTCAAGCCAACAAACATCAAAAGAGAAAAAGAAGGGAATTACATAATGGTGAAAGGATCAATGCAACAAGAAGAGCTAACTGTCCTAAATATATATGCACCCAATACAGCAGCACCTAGATACATAAAGCAAGTTGTTAATCACCTACAAAGAGACTTAGACTCCCACACAATAATAGTGAGAGACTTTAACACTCATCTGTCAATATTAGACAGATCAATGAGACAGAAATCAACAAGGATATCTAGGACTTGAATGCAGACCTTGACCAAGTGAACCTGATAGACACCTACAGAACTCTGCACCACAAATCCACAGAATATACTTTCGTTGTAGCACCACATTGCAGTTACTCTAAAATTGACTACATAATTGGAAGTAAATAACTCCTCAGCAAA